AGGACGGGGCGGCCGCGGCTCTGCAGGCAGAGCGCCCTGGGACCGGCGCTTCGAGTCCCTTCCCCGAGGAGAGAGGGTCAGGCCCGGGGACAAGAGAAGGGCGGGCCACCGAGAGAAATTTTCAAGTGGTCATAGGGCACATGCATGCGTTTTTGATCTTATACATAGCTCCAAATTTATCACCACAGTTGGCTGATTTGCTTTCCTAATCCTTGCCCGCCTTTATTAGAAATGTTAAGAGGTAGAGGGTGAGGGACCCGCTGGTCAGCGACTTCAGCTTCCTACACATGCACGCAGCACGGGAGAGGAGGGCGACCTCCCAGTGCAGCGGAAGTCACATGGTGAACAGCTGCAGACACCGACTGTCCGCTGCAGGATCCCAAAGGGAACTGTCACAAGGAAACACCCTGTTTTTGCGTAGAGCCAGTGTGAGGTAGCTTTTCTGCTAACCACAACCTACGTGTGCAGAGAGGTTCCCCAAACACCTGCCTAACAGGGAGCCGACAAAGACACAGGTGCACTCACAGGGCAAAGCCACTCATCTCAGCAACACCGTGCTTCACACCAGGAGATGGGTCACACAGTCTCCGTCCTGGGCCACCACCCGCGGCAGCCATGGAAGTGTGCGCGGACAGCACAGTACCAGGGGGCGACTTGTGCTGTCTCAGTGGACACATACAGGGGAACGCCACAGAGCCGTTAGAAAGCAGATAACAGAGAAAGCATCTTACAAAACAGGAAACCACTTGTGACATGAACCAGCAACGTCCCCGTATGTGTAGGTGCAAAGGCACGAGGTGGACTTGACAGATGGGGGAGTGGCTCATACCGGTAGTCCAGCATCCACACCCTGGGCCCGGCCCCCTCTGCAGCCCAGCCCTGGTCCCCAGCGCCTCTCTGCCCTTCATTCACCTGCAAACAGCAGAACCCGAGTGGTGTCCCCTGCCTCTGGCTCTGTGGGGCCCAGTGCAGCTCACCCGCTTAGGGCTGGCTGGCCAGGGCTGCCATCACGCGGCCCTCCTGGACTGGATGCTGCCCTTCTATAGTTCCACATCCACGCAGCCTCGCAGAGGTGTGCTACAAAACCTGTAACCAAAAGAGCACCCTGAACAGGTGACAGGAAAAACCGCAGTTTTCCCAGGTCTGTGGATGAGACCAGGGCTGGAGGAAAGAAAAGGTTTTCCTGTAGTATTTTTTGATGTAGTCAAATTCACTCCTTTTGCTGACCCTGAACTTTTTTTTTTTTTTTTTGGTTTTTCTCCGGTACCGGGAACCGAACTCACGACCTTGTGCTTGCGAGGCAGGCGCTTTGCCGCTGAGCTAAATCCCCAGCCCCGACCCTGAACTTTCAATTAGATTTCTTCAAAAGCTTTTCTTCTTCACCCATGTTTCTAACACTGGCACCGTGGCACTTTTTTACACGCAGCATTCCACCCTGTTTGGGGCTTGTTCTGGTACATGGTGCAAGGCCATCTATGGTGCCTGACTGAGTCAGCAGCATTTATTATGAATGACCAGCCCTGACCCAGAAAACTAGACATTGCCGTCATATTTCAGCCTAGTTCTCGGCTGATCCCTGAGCTTCTGGAGTGCTGTTAGGTGATTTTATTGTGGTGAACACGAGCGTGTACTGACACAAACAAGGACAGGCCCACTGTCGTCTGTGTGGCCCTCGCTGACCCAACACGGTCACCTGGAGCCGTGGCCCTGTGTTTTCCCCAGGGGCTGGTGGTGTGTCGACATCTGGGAGGGCTGCTCCTCTTTTCTGAGTTCTTTCTTTTCAAATTTTCTCTGTATTCATGCTTGTTTCGTTTTCTATTTCAATTTTAGAATCAATATGATCAGCATACACACACACAAAGTGGAGGATGTAGTATAGTAACAGAAGGGTGACAAGAGGATGAACTCCTTGAAATGAATCCTTTAGGGTGGAAATTAACATTTCCTTACTACATCAGTTGATCTCATTGCTTCCCTGATTCACAGAAATTCCTTTAAAAATGACTACTTGTTTTTCTTTCCCCTGGCTAATATTTGGGGTCTTCTCTTTGTCCTTGGGTTTTCCCTCCTCTCTTATAAAATGGTTTTGTATGACACCTGGTAGTACTGCCCCAGAAAGCCTAAGAAGCCCAGATAAAAGGGCACTCACAAGGAACACACCTGCTTGAATCTCCTGGAGTGGCCTTGACTATCAGTTTGACTTTGGTGACACCAGGACAATGTGAAAGTTTAAAGAGTTTTTAGTACTTACAGACCCCCATCCTCATGAAGGTGGAGGAGAACACGATACAGTGGTCAGTGAGCACAGGCACAGATAGAGAAGAACACATGGGCCAGTGAGTTTATTGGGGCTGGAGCAGTATCCAAATTGGTCTCTGCCAGCTGGAGCCATTTTTGTGGGGTGCATTATTAAAAACTGTCAAGCACCTCTGCCCCTTAAAAGGTAACTTAGGATGCCAAGACATCATAAAATTATTATTTATTATTATTATTATTATTATTAATCTTTTTGAGACACGGTCTCAGTATGCAGTTCAGGCTGGCCTTGAGTTCACTTTGCAGCCCAGGTTGGTCTCAAACTCACAACAATCCTCCTGCCTCAGCCTCTTGAGTGCTGGGATTACAGGCGTGCTGTCCCATGCCTGGCGACATCATAAAATTATAAGCACTCACTACAGTAATTTACTAGAGATAGGGATATAGTGCAGTGGTACAGCACTCTCCCAGGATGTACTGAGTTCAATCCTTAGCAGTGAAAGTTATACTTTAAGTTATACTTTAAGTATGAATATATGCATATCATAAGAAATTTTAAATTATAATGGTTACCACTGTTATTTTAATTTCTTGTAGGAAATTATACCACAACTTAGCTCTCTGAAAAAGCAACACATTATTTCAATTTCTGCAGGTCAGTATACAAGACAGGTTAGCTCAGCGGCTCTGGCTCAAGGTCTTTCAGGAGGAGGCCCTCACTACTGAGATTTTGATTCTTTTTAAGGTCAGTTGGGAGAAAATCAGCTTCCACATTCATTCATGTAGTTGCGGAACTGAGCTGTTTACTGGGTGTTGGTCAGAAGCTTCCCTCATCCCTTGCCACGTGGGTCTCTCCCTAGATCACGCACAGCACAGGGGCTTGCTTTCCCCCAAGATCAAGCCACACTCAACACTGCCATTAATGCCCCATCACCTCTGTGGCATCATAAAGAAGTCGCAGAATCCAGCCTACATTGAAGACCAGAAGTGTGCAGGAGGGCAGGAGCTGCGGAAGGCAGGAGCTGAGTGAGTGGCTGAGGGCCAATTCAGAGGCCACTACCACCTCCTTGCACCATGTTTAGCAGTGTGTGAGGGAAGGGCACGCCGTCTTCACCCTGGAGTCCTGTCTTTCATGCACTTCTCGTGCACTTCTCCCGCACTGGCTGCTACCATCTGTTCTTCTATTCTACTGACTCCTTTATCTGTCATTCTCTTCTTCCTGTTCCTGGTTCTCCTTGCCTCTGTGCACTCTCTCAGCAAGTACATCTGTCATGATTCAGACCCACAGGTCCAGCTCTTTCA